GTTGCAAGAAATGTCAAGGACCATGTTGAATGAACACAACCTACCTCAATATTTTTGGGGAGAAGCGGTCAACACGGCATGCTACGTTCTTAATCGGGTATTACTTAGACCTATTATTAAAAAGACTCCCTATGAACTTTGGAAAGGTAGAAAACCAAATATTTCCTATTTCAAAGTTTTTGGGTGTAAATGCTATATTTTGAATACCAAGGATCATTTAGGCAAATTTGAGCCTAAATCAAATGAAGGAATTTTCCTTGGTTATTCAACAAATAGTAGAGCCTATAGGGTATATAATAAATCAAATCATAAAGTAGAAGAATCTATGCATGTAAAATTTGATGAAACTGATCCCTTTGGGTCGAGTAAGGTAATTGCAGGTTCAAATGAAAAAGAAGAGGAAGAGGAAATCCTGGAAATTCCTGCGCAAGAAGAAGAAAGTGCAAAGAAGGAACTACCGAAGGTATACAAACACTTGAAGAATCATCCAAGAGACAATATCATTGGAGATATTGAAAAGGGAGTTAGAACTAGGAACAATTACAATCTTTGTGCACACTATGCGTTCGTTAGTCAATTTGAACCTAAGAACTTAGAAGATGCACTAAAAGATAGTGATTGGATTATATCCATGCAACTAGAGCTTGAGCAATTTGAACGCAACAAGATTTGGGAACTAGTCGAAAGACCGGAAACCCGACCTGTTGTGGGCACTAAATGGGTCTTTAGAAACAAGCTTGATGAAAATGGTGTTATTATCACTAATAAAAGTCGACTTGTTGCTAAAGGCTATAGCCAAGTTGAAGGACTTGACTATGATGAAACTTTTGCTCCGGTTGCTAGGCTTCAATCAATTCTTATGTTATTAGCTTTTGCAAGTGCTCTTAATTTCAAACTTTTTCAAATGGATGTTAAAAGCGCTTTTCTAAATGGATGGTTAAAAGAAGAAGTTTATGTTGAACAACCTCCCGGTTTTGAAAATCCTGATTTTCCAAATCATGTTTTTAAACTTCATAAGGCCCTTTATGGACTCAAACAAGCTCCTAGAGCTTGGTATGAGCGGCTTACCGAACATCTAATCTCACATGGATTTGCAAAAGGAAAGATCAATTCTACACTTTTTGTCAAAACAAAAGGAAAAGATCTCATAATTGTGCAAATTTATGTTGATGACATTATTTTTGGGTCAACCAATGAAGCTTTATGTAATGAATTTTCAGGAATTATGACAAGCGAATTTGAAATGAGCATGATGGGTGAGTTGAACTTTTTTCTTGGACTTCAAATTAAGCAACTTGGAGATGGCATTTTCATTAGTCAAACCAAGTATGCCAAAGAATTAGTCAAGAAGTTCAACCTTGAAGATTCAAAAATATATCCAACTCCAATGAGCACATCCTTGAAGCTTGATAGTGACGAAAGCGGAAAACCCGTAAATGAAAAGGTATATCGAGGTATGATTGGTAGTTTGCTTTATTTAACTGCATCTAGACCCGATATAATGTTTTCCGTTTGCCTTTGTGCACGTTTCCAATCATCACCTAAAGAATCACATCTTAATGCCGTCAAGCGAATAATTCGGTATGTCAAGGGAACGACCAATATGGGGTTATGGTATCCTAAGAATACGAATTTAAGCTTGATAGGTTTTAGTGATGCCGACTTTGGAGGGTGTCGTATTGATCGGAAGAGCACAAGTGGCACATGTCAATTCATAGGTCATGCACTAGTGTCTTGGTCATCTAAGAAACAACACTCCGTCGCCCTATCCACCGCCGAAGCGGAATATGTGGCTATGGGTAGTTGTGTTGCTCAAATTTAATGGATGATGCAAACACTAAGTGACTTTAACTTAAAATTTTCAAAAGTGCTTATTTTTTGTGATAACTCAAGTGCAATAAATATTTCCAAAAATCCTGTTTTGCATTCTAGAACTAAACATATAGAAATAAGACATCATTTCATACGTGATCATGTTGCAAAGGGAGATATTCAAATTGAATATGTAAATACACTTGAACAACGTGCTGACATTTTTACAAAACCATTAGATGAAAAACAATTTTTACATATTTGTCGGGAAATGGGAATGCTTGAATTAAAGTGAAATTTAAGGTTCTTATTATCCCATTATATCATAAAAATAAATTGATCAAGTCCAAATGCTCAAAACACGCGTCAAGAATTCGAAACAAAACATTAAGCTGAGACACGGTACCCCTGTCGGTACCCTGGTCCCGTATAAAATAGGTGCCGCCAGAAACGAATGGGATTTTGGAAGCTTCACGGTAGCTGGACACGGTACACCATACCGTATAGACGGTACCAAGATACCGTTACCACGGTACCTAGGTACCGACCGTCTCGTCGGGTCAAAACGATTTAAAACCCTAGACCAGCGTCTATTCGGCATCTGCAGCGTCTCTCTCCCGGCGGCCTCTCTCTCGTCTCTTCTCTACCGTAAGGCATCCAAGGTAAACATTCATCCAAATTTCATCACTTTTATCATCAATTAAGCTTCAATTTCCATATCCTCTCCTTAATTCGTGCATTAAGTATCACTTTTCCCATTTTTCGTCCAATTTTCCTAATTTTCTCAAAATCTCCAAAATGAGTGAAATTGTTTCAAATGTTCAACCCGATGTCCAAGGTGGGTTCAAGGCTTACGCCGACCCACATATCATTGAGGGGAGAACCCTAAAACAAGATGACATCCCGGTTCCCGTTCTTGAACTTATTCAAGAACAAGGTTGGAGTTTCTTTCTTCAACTCCAAGCCCCTGTTTACCCGGACCTTGTTAATCAATTCTATTCTTCTATGAAATACTATCCCGAAGACCCTTCCATTACCGCCGTAGTTGCCGGCAAAACCTTTGGATTCAACACCCAAAACCTTTCCGAATGGTTTCATCTAGAGCGTCAAGGAGTCTCTACCTATTGCAAAAAGGGGTGGATTACCGACTCCCGAGACTTCAACTCCGATTCTTGCCTCCGAGTGCTTAATAACATTGCCCTTGACCATGTCTTTAAGGACCCACACTACTTTCTTCATAGGCCAAATGTTCAAGACTTACCCGCAAATAGGTTCACCCTTCTCAAAATCCTCAAAGAAAATATCATCCCGGTCCTTAACAAAGATAAACAAGTTGGGGTTTATGAATGCACTCTTCTATATTGGCTCCTCACTCACAAGAAAATCAATCTCCCTTCCATCATCCTAAAACACATGTACGAATGCTCCGGTCGCCAAAACAAACCCTATGGCATGCTTCTTACCCACATCTTTGCCAAGAGGGAAATTCTTGAGGTGCGCCCTTCTCGTGTCCGCTATCTTGATGCGGAGTGCCTTGGCTATTGTGGCCTTGTGAAGATTGGAGAAGAGTACTACATGAAGAAGGAGTTTCAAAATCTTGATGAAGCTACACGAGCGGAGTATGGCCCTCGACGATCCTTGTCCTCTGTGCCATCTACTTCACGAGCAGCCCGGGCCGAAGCCGAAGAAAAGGCCAACACGGATGTCCCCGTTCGTGCTCCTAGGGTCAAATGCTCAAAGTCGGTGTCTCATGCTTCTTCGGCCTCTCTCTTGCACCGTCACTCTCAAATGGCTTCCATTTCCAAAAACCCCTTCAAGAAGTTCAAGAAATTCATCCTCAAGACCGTAGTGGCTCCGATGAAGAAAATTCAAGAAAGCCTTGATGACCTCTCGGATCGGATGAAGAAGATGGAGGACCGTGAGAATTGCCAAAAGCAAAATGAGGATCGTGCTTCTAGACGTCGCCGCTAAGTATTGAGCATTTGACAAAATGATCAAACATTCACTTATCTATATTTTTTTAAAAAATTATTATGTATTTTATTTTATGTTTCAAACTCCTATCATGTCTTATGTTTAAAACTCGTACTTCTGCACTTTTATGATTGTTAACCCCTTTATGATTATGCTTATGATTCACTTGAATGCCTATAATTGTTGCCATAATGAATGCCACTGTGTTGAACCTCATGTTTTTGGTACCCCGCCTTTTTTGAATGTTGCCAAAAGGGGGAGAAATATTAGGCTTTCATATGTATCAATTTAGGGGGAGTTTTTATCAAAATATCATGTGCATCAACTTAGGGGGAGTTTTAAAATCAATATATGCTTTTCACGATATGTTTGTGCGTTTGATTATTATATTCGAAAGCCTTATTTGTCAACATCAAAAAGGGGGAGATTGTTGGCCTTGAATGCCGTACCCCGTAACCGTTTTGATGTGCCAAATAAGTCTTCGAAATGTTACTAACATCATTTGCAGGAAAAACAAACGCCAAAACCTCTATTAGCTTGTTTAGCATCACCGAGATATACTCCTACGAGTTTAGAAATTGTTGTGTAAAGGTAATGATATATTTTAATGAGTTACTTATGCCCTTTCACTCAAAATTTAATTTTAAAATGACAAATATATTCTTAGTTGGGGTTATTTTGAAAACGGAACACGAAAAACGAGTTTTGGAATTTTTACACAGGCCTAACGGTACCTGG